TTTTTAAAGGAATTGTTGTGCTAGAATGATGATACTACATGCATGTTAAAAGTGGATGAGGAGTGTGAATAATCTCTGTGGCTTTGCCCATGTGTCCCAGGCATGTGTACTGTGTACTGTCCTACCACTGTGTAGCTAAGTGGCTAAGTATAGGCTGTAATATTGCCCCTGAAGCCTATCCAGTAGGATAGGAGTGGCTTGGGAGGTAGTAACAGCTCTGTAGTAAAACCTGGAACACTCTTGTCCTATGTCTCTAAGGCCTGCTCATGCTTTGCTATTAAAGGTGAATATAGTAACTTTTTAATCAACAGACATACAGTCCTGGTATGTTAATCGTTCTCTGAGATTGTTTTCTGTTCAGAGAAGGCCATTGGTCTTACAATTTCTCTGTGTTACAAATGAACTGCTTGTAAAGAACTCTTGTTTCATTTAGAGTCTTTGGTGGCCTTTGGGAGCATCTAGACTGCTGCTGAGTTAGGGTTGTATCTCCTGTAGTGATTTGTTTTCTTTTTTCCCTTTCTCTTTCTCCTGTTTTCTTCCTCAGGCTGCTGCACAAGACAGTAGCAAACCTGAGACACTGGGCCTTGCAGACAAAGGTGTATTCACTGATGGGGACCAGCTGGTATTTCTTCTGGCCTCTCTTGCCTTCTGTTCTCTTTTTGTGAGAGGGAGTTTGTTTTTGAGTTAGGGTCTCACTGTGTAGTTCAGGCTGGCCTCGAACCCAAAGCAATCTTTCTACCTCATGTTCTACTTTTAAATATCCTACTTCTGTGTTGTCGTTAATTTCCTTTTCTTGATGGAGTGTGCTTAAATACTAAGGTGCCTATAGTTCTCTTAGTAGGTACTGGTGCTTGGAGTACCTGGCCTACAAACTTTGCATGTCAGTTCAGAGCACCCCTCCCAGCCTGAACTCTGAGGATGATTTTTGCAACAGCACCTATTCAAAAAAGTAACTCTGAAATATTTTCTGTCTTTTTATCTCTGGGTTTGTTTTCTGTAACTTTAGAGATTTAGACCCAGGTCAACAAATGACAGAACGTGCCCCAAGTCTGGCCCACTTCCTGCTTTGGGTGTCTAATCACGTTGGCACATGACTGTGCTCATTTGTGAATGTGTAGTGAGTGGCTGTGTAGCCGATATTGCTCTCTAGCCCTTTGCAGAGGTCTGGTGGCTTTGGTTCTGCATGAGATTTCCAGGCCCTCCTTGCTCCGGAAAATTCAGTGATGGACAATGAGTAAGAATGTTCTGACCCTTTCCAGCAGGCTGGTAGTCTGCATAAAGACAGGAATTCTAGTAAACAAGGAAAAATGGCAGTTTTGGAGGGATAAGATATTGTAGCTGAAGAGCTAGCTGTCCAGAGAATTCCTTCCTGATTTTCTTCTCAAAAGAATTCCCTTTGCCCTGGACATGTGGGTAAGTGTTGCTGTGTGATTCTCCTTTCTGCTCTTTCAGGTTTGAGAAACCCCCCACGGCTCTTGGTGGCTGGTCCCTCCAGCACAGGAAACAGTGACTCAGATGGTGGCCTCTTTGCTGTCCCTACAACTTTGCCTCCAAACAGCCGACATGGAAAGCTCTTCTCACCCAGTAAAGAAGCTGAGCTGACTTTCCGGCAGCATCTAAACTCAATTAGTGTGAGTGCCAGGGCATATTTGTACACCAGGCCTTACAGGATGGGCCCTTAGGTCTCACGTGCTGTTTTCCTTGCAGATGCAGTCAGACTTCTTCTTGCCAAAGCCCAGGAAACTGCGGAACCGGCATCTGCGGAAGCCATTGGTGGTCCAGGTGAAGGATCTTTGCTCAAACTCCATTTGTTGCTTGGCTTTCTCACTGGTCAATCTGGTCTTGGCACACTGGTCTTCTGCGTCTCAAGATTTTTAGAGTATAACATAGGGAAATTGCTAGCCCTTATTTTCCTCTAATAAATAGAAAAAAAATAACATTAGCAAGCTTAATGGTATCTCTAAATAAAAGATAGTCTTTGAACAGCATTGCAGAAAAGACAAAGTTCTGAGCATCTAAGTTCCAAGAATGTCCAGGCTTCAGTCTGTTGGAGGACTGTCAGAACATGTGTCGAGGGACCAAGCCTGGTGACACATTTCCTATAATCCTAGCATTGGGGAGACTGAGGCACATTGATTACAATGAGCTGAGCTAAGCTACACAGTGATACTGAGGCCAGCCTGAACTACATAATGAGACCTTATCTCAAAGAAAAAAACAAACCATGGTGATGCATATTTAGGCAGTGAAGCAGTTGGACAGAGTTTGAGTCAGCAAAGGCCTGGCTTCTGTGTAACTAGTGCTGGAGGAGCCCCACATGTCCTGTGTGCAACTACAGGATGGATAGAGCATCGGAGAACCTAAGGCGGAGGATGGTGTCATTTCAGGGGAAAAAGAATGGTAATGAGAGTGCAAGTCTAAAATATAATGGCCTTAGAAATTTATGAATGTCGACTAGAGTGTAGCTCAGTGGTAGAACACTTGGCTAGTATGCATGAGGCACTGGATTTGTTCTCCAGTACTGAAGGAAAAAAGAGAAATTTATGACTGTGTATTCTAGGGGGAGCATTAATGGACAGGTTTGCTTTTCCTAGTCTCTGAAATGTTTTTCTCTTTTGAGAATAGTTTGTATAAAAGTAAGTGTTGAATGAAAGGACTCAGGAAGAAAGATGTATTTCAAGTCTAGGTAATTTTTGTTGAGGCTAACTTCATCCATTTAACTTTATAGTATATTTAATTCTTTGCCTTGGAAGTGGGAAAATCATTGGCTGGACGTGATCTATGTAACTTTTTTGAGACAGGGTTGTGTTATGTAGCTATAGCCTCAGACTTATGGCAGTTCTCAGGCTCCCTAGTGCTGATCTGTGTAACTCTTCAGTCAAGGATCAAAAATTATTTCCCATGGGAAATCCAGCCTGTCTTGTTCTATTATTATTACTACTACTACTACTACTACTACTACTACTACTACTACTATTTGTTTATTTAAAGTAGTTTTGTGATATACAGTTGACATACCAAAAAGTGTACCCATTTAAAGGTGTGCCCAGGTTTACAGTTCTAGTGGCTTATAACATTTATGGGAGGGGCTGGTGAGATGGCTCAGTGGTCTAAAGCACCTACTTAGAACAAGCTTAGCAAAGCACAGGGACTGCGGTTCAATCCCCCAGCACCACATGCCAGCCAGCCCTGCCCCCTCGTGGGCTGAGCTGGCCACACACACACACACACACACACACACACACATAAATAAACAAAATTAAAAAAAAAATTTATGGGAGGTAGAACCATCACTACTCCCAGAACATCTTGATTATCCAGAATAAACCATGTACCTGTAGACTGTCCCTGCTTTCCCTCTAGTGTTTGACAGCCCCTAATTTTTCTTCAGGTTTGTTGCATTTTAGATTTTTTGTTTTTTGAGACAGGGTCTCACTATGCAGACCAAGCTGATCTTGAACTCATGGTGTAGCACAGGCTGGCTTCGAACTCACAATGATCCTTTTTCCTTAGCCTCCCAAGTGGTAGAATTATAGATATGCACCAATACACCCAAGCTCTTTTCTGTCTCTATAGATTTGCCTTTTCAAAGTGTTTCCTAACATGGGATCATGTGGTATATGGTCTTTTTCTTTCAATATTTTTATAAATAACAGCCATGTTCATTCCTTTCCATTCTGCCTGTGGCTGCTTTTCAATCATTGGATCAAATATGGCCCCAGAGCCTACATTACTTCACTGGCCCTTTACAGAAAAAGTTTACTGATCCATGCCTTAGACTTTGGAGCAAGGCAGGCAAAGAGCATACAGAATTGTTAATGGATCCTCCCTATGGCATCTATAACAGTTTCTGCCCTCTGATCTGTGCTGACAGCAGTGCAGCAGTGCTGCTGGAGGGTCTCAGGTCTGAGTGAACTTTGAGTTCATATATGAACAGCTGTGCTCCAGACTGATAAACCTTATGATGTTACTGGGTCAGCAGGTATTTTTTTATAAATGTTTTATTGTGACCACTACCAGTTTGGGTAGTTGATACAGCTTTTTCTCAGCTGGCAGTGATCATTCAAAAGGCACACAGAACACCTCCTTGTTCATATGCGGCAGCCTTGGGAAAGAGCATCTTTTGTCACAAGCAGTCACATTGTTTTCTTCATCCCAACAATAAGAAAGACCAGGACATCCTTAAACAGATGTATGTACCTAGTTTTGCTCCAGTCAAGTCCAGGACACTCTGGATTCAAGACAATCACTTTGACATTCCTCTAGGGTTCATTAGGAGAGGTCTAAGTCTATGGATTTCAGAGAGAATCCAGTATTCTGGATTTGAGGACCACAAGACATAACAGCCTCCAACTACGCTAGACATCCGTATGTCTTTAAAGCAAGTTCCTTGTCCATTTACACCTGACTTCCTTGTATTTAGAATGTTCCTTTTAAACCATTTTCTGGAGAGAACTTTTTAAACATTAGAGTCTTCTCATCACCATGATTATTTGCATTTTTTTTTTTTTTTTCCACAGAGAACACTGCTCCCTAGACCATCTGAAAACCAGTCCCACAATGTGTGTTCCTTCTCCATCCTGTCTAACTCTCCTATAGCTGGTAAGGGCCTGGGTTATTCTGGGCTAGCTCTCATTCCCACTCCTTACCTGACTATGGCCTCACTTTGGGACAGTGAGTGTTGGCTTCTTGAACATCACTCCTAGCATTCCTGCTTGCAGTCTACCAGCAAATACTTTGTGTGTCAATGTGCTTTGGCTGGCTGTAGCTAAGCCAAGGCAGAAGACTTGACAGGTGGGTTATAGGGTACGTTTCCAGATGTGGTCTCAGCAGGCCTTGTTCACTGAGTTGTTCAGTTCAGCAAAGCATCTGCTGACCATCTTTGTGCAGAGATACATCAAGTGTTTTATGGAATAGATATGTTCTTGGGTATGTAGATTAACCAGAAGCCCTGCACTTTGAAGTGTATTTTGACACAATGAGCATATAAGTGGAACAGGTGCTATGTTATTTATCTTTTGTTTTTTTTTTTTTAACTCTGTCTTCCTGTTTGTAATTTGTTGATTGTTTTTTTTTTTTTTTTTTTTTTTTTTAGACAGGGTTCCACTTTGCAGTTCAGACTAGCCTTGAACTCAGTATGTAGCCTATGGTGGTCTCAAACTTGTAGTGATCCTCCTGTTTCATCCAAGTGCTAGGATTACAGGCATATGCCCCTAATCCCTGCTTTCATGTTTACTTTTCAACTGTAGAAGGCAACGCAGAACCAAGTTGCAGTTGGCAGTCTTAGTCCAAGGCCACTGTACTAGTTGGCTCTAAGAATCCAGCACTTCAGTGCAGGGGCTTGTCACAAAGGTCATTCTCAGGAGATGACAGTGGCCGACGTAGACTTTCAGCAGCTCTTGGGAGGTACATTGGTGCCACCAAGGCAAGTTCCATACTTGTACTCCCTGTTGGACACCTGGGTAACAGATATCTAACTCCCCAAATTAGCAAATATTTGGAAATTTGTGTGGTTTCTCTGATCTCATCTGCATCTATAAAGGAAACCTTCTGCAGCTCCATTGTGTGTTCCAAAGGTATAGATAGGTCAGGTTGATGTGCATGCCTTGGTCTTTCCCTCACAGGGAGAGGCTCATTCCGGCCCATCCAGTCTTCTCTGACCAAAGCAGCCCTGTCTCGGCCGATTGTGCCCAAGGTCCTTCCACCCCAAGCCACAAGTCACCTTGCCAGTGAGTCTGTAAACTTAATGGTGATAGCTATTTGTAGTATTTTCTTTTTTCCAAACTGTAATAGTTCATTAACCTTTATAGAGAATGTCTTTCGAAGTTACTGGCTCTGCATTTACATGGGAAGTGAAGGGGAAGCTCTCTTGGGCTTTCTCTACGTACATCCTGAGGCGTCATGAAACAGAGGTTTGAATTGTTGCTTGTGTTGCCAGGTGCAATTGACCTAGCTGCTCAAAGTGCTGGCATTATCCCTGGAAGCCCCTTACCAGTCTTGGAGACAGAGGGTTTATCTGGCATCTCTCCACTGTCCTCAGATGAGGTGACAGCTACTGTCTCAAGTCAAGACTCCACTGTACCCCATGAGAATGGAGACCCTGTCCCCACCATGGGGGTGAGTATGTTCAAAAGGACTGTTTGGTATGCCACTACCTTCTGAAGTGGGAGCCAGGCCAAGGAGCTGGTGTCATGCTAGATCTAGCTCTGTCTATAGAGGGGTTAGGCCTGATAAGCTAGAGGAGCCACTGATCAGGGAGGCCATGGTGCAAATGAGTGCTGTGGTATACACATCAAAACAGGTGAAAGGGCATATGTGCTTTCTTACATCCAGGTGTCATGACATACAGCAATATTGCCATGAACCACAACAAAATTAGCCAGCAGTTCAGCCCCTGGCTCCCTGTTCAGGAGTCATTGACCACTTCATGGGTCTAGATAGACAATTTGCTTATGGCTGTAAGCACCTCTCCATGATTCTCTAAGTGCTCATGTTTATTAACTTCTTTGATAACTACCTGGGAAGGGTGGGTGAGTTGGCCCCATATCTGAAATTATAGAACTGACTTCTTAATGAGACTTGAGTTTTCTTTGAAAAAAAAAAAAAAAAAATTAGGTAAAAGTGATTCCACAGCTTTTTCAGCTGAGAGCATGATCTTACCTATATCTTTGACTGGTGGGAGTGCAGGGTGACTGAACAGCTCTTTCTCTGGAGCTCAGTTAAGTGAGCACTTGGACACAGTTCTGGCACATCACATGTGGGCTCATCACTGATCTTCCCAATGTTTTTATAGGGTACAAACGACCCATTCATCAACATCCCCCCAAGGCCGGAGCAGGAGCCAGTGGCAGACAGTTTCCAGGTATAGTATGCTTTTGAGCTGCAGAGCGAAAAAGCTACCTCAGGACCCCCTATAGTGCTGAGACCTTACTCTCCTTGGTTACAGACAGACCGTGGTATTCATAAATGCAGTTATTTCTATCTACCTTATATACATCCTGATGAATGAATGAATTCAGCTGTCTTACAGCTCTCACTTCATTCAGATCCTGTTCTGGAAAGACTGGTTCTGGGCCAGGGAAAAAGGCCAACAGCTAGTGGCTCCCCAGTACTTGCTGTCTGCCTTTGTTTCTCCAGTTAAATCATTGGTAGCAGTGAAATCAGTCCCAGTGCACCTTGGTCTGGCTTTTTGACTCTGAAGTTGCAAGTAGTTTTGGGAGTAAATTCCTGATTATGTCCTCACTTGAAAAGATAAGGAAACCCTTGCACCCATTGCAGCCACGAAGCTGTGAGAATCTGAGCCTGAACTGTGAAGCTGGGGCTATCAAGGCTATTTTGGGTTCTGTGTGGCCACTTGTATCTGAATAATACTTGTTCCTTGGCAGGGTTCATCTGTTCTCTCTTTGTCTGAGCTGCCCAAAACTCCTCTCCAGAATGGTCTCTGCACACCTTTATCCTCATCAGAGGGCTCCAGCACCCGGCTCTCCCCACCTAATGTTTCTGCACTGCTGGACATCTCTCTGCCTGGCCCACCTGAAGATGTGCTCTCACAGGGAGAGCCCGCAACACAGATCAGCGACTCCATCATTGAGATTGCAATTAGTTCTGGCCAGTTTGGTAAGAGCAGCTCTTTCTTACCCTTTCTGGCTCCAGGTTTCCCCCCAGGACACAGTGATCAGATATGCTTTGAGGGGTCCTGCCCTGATGAAGTTTTTCCAAATGTACTAGAAATGTTCCAGTTTAGCTCTTATTTGGGTGCATTAATTACATGCCACTGATAAGGTGCTGTTGCTGCCTGGCTCCTCCAGGGCATGTGATACATATGGAATTGAATCTACTGATGGTCTGGTAATATTACTTTTAACCTTGAGATGAGAACAAGGTGGCCCATGAAGTGCTCTGTGGCCTAAGGATCAGCAGGCTTGCCTTTCTGGTTGACTATGAGTATGGCAGGCAGCCTGTGTGCATTTTATAGTGCTCAGCAAGTAATCCACCTTGAAGTTGTCAAGATCTTGGAACCACTCACCCTCTGTGGTGTTCTTTGAAATATTATATGGCTATTGCTCACTATTGTGAGGCCATTGGTTCAGACCTGTAAATTTGCAATGATTAGCACTAGACCACCACTACATTTGAGCCTAAGTTTCTAGGTTGGAAACAGTTTATAAGATTGGGAGCAGTTTATACCTCTTCATGGTGCTATGCCAGGTGTTATGCCCAGACCATAAAGCCTGGCCCCACCCATGGCAGTTTTGCTGGAGAATATAGCTGTCATTGCTGTATTCTGCATCATGTCCTTTCTGTAGCACAAAGCCATCCTGCAAGCTCTGCTGTCCTCTAGACCACAGCAGGATGAAGTTGGGGCACAGTGAAGCCAAGGTAGTAGTACACAGCACCTCCACCACTGCCTCCTCCTTGTGGATTGGAGAAGGATGCTTTTGGTAGGGTTTTTTTTTTTTTGTTTTCTGTTTTTTGGGGAATTTTTTTGGTCTTTTGAGACAGTTTCCCTATGCAGTTCAGGCTGGCCTGGAACCTGATTTTTAGCCATGGTTGGCCCCAAACTCCCAATGGTACCCCTGCTCCAGCCTCCCAAGTGCTGAGATTATAAGGTTGTACCGCCATACTCAGCCTAGGGAAGTATCTGTGACCCCGGATTTTGGTTGACAGGTGAAGGAGTCCCTCTTTCTCCAGCAAAACTGAATGGCAGTGACAGTTCCAAGAGCCTTCCCTCCCCATCTAGCAGTCCCCAGCCCAACTGGATTGCCTCTCCTACCCACGATCCCCAGTGGTATCCCAGTGACTCCACGGACTCCTCACTTAGCAGTTTGTTTGGTGAGTTTCTATAGTCACTAAGATATTCTGAAGGGGATATTGCAGCACCGTTTGCCACACATGTGAGAATGTAGGGATGCTGTACCTGTCCTCTCCTACCCATTTGCCCCCTCAGTACCAGTGTGAGGGAAGGAGTATGCCAAAAAAGTCACACACGGCTACTATTGCCTGCATAGACACACTCCTATTTACACATCTGAAGTTTTACAGAATGGTAAATGTTAGATGATTATAGGATAGCCTCACAGAAGGGCATACTGTATACACAGTGAACTTGAGTTAGTTACACCTGTGGGGCTTGTATCTGATGACCCAGGAGTTCTTGAGGATTCTGAGTCTAGGATGTGCGAGGGAACCAGCCCACCATGAATGATTCTTAAGATCAAATAAAGCAGAACAGACATGAGCAGTCACATGCAAATCATGAAAAGTTGGGAACAACTTTAGTGTCTGTCAGTCAGGAAGTGGCACAGAGAATTAAATTTTTGTGTGTGACAGGATAGCAACCAGAAAGTGCACCAGTTTAGAGACCCTGGAAGATGGTGATAGATCATATGAGAAAATGAGTTACAGTATGATGGTGTCACCTAACCCCTTCAGGCAAGCATGAAGATAGAGGCCTGGAGGGAGCTTGGCCTGGCTACCTCCAGCCTGCAGGACCTTCAGTGGGCTCAGGGGTGTTGTCCTTGGCATTCTCTGCAGCCAGCTTCATCTCTCCAGAGAAGAGCCGAAAGATGCTCCCAACTCCCATTGGATCTAACAGCGGCACTTCCTTGCTTGGTCCCAGCTTGTTGGATGGAAACTCACGGGACTCTTTTGTGTCCAGGTCCTTATCCGATGTTGCAGAGGTATGTATACTACTGTGCCCTGAACTTGAAGGCTCATCTTGTTCCAGAGTGCCTTGTCCTTCCTGACATCAGGAGACACCATGTACAAATCTGGGTCTATGACTGCTTAAGATCTGCCAACTGTGAAGTCAACAGCAGACCTTTAAGTAACAGCTAGCCCTTAAGACATCAGAATCTGGGAATCCTAGAGTCAGGGTGGAAAGTGTGGTCTCTGAAAGTCAGTGGAGCTGAGTTAGATCACATCCTGTCCTTTAGCTCTGTGACCTCAAGCTCCCTTAGTCTGCTGATGTGTGAGGTACAGTACAATTGTGTAAGAGGAAGAGATGATTATAAAAGTTTGTGTCATAACCACCCTATCATGACAACAGGAAAACTTCAAGCAGCATTTTCATGGTCCTGTATCACAGCCATGGGCCAGTGGAGCTTAAGAGTTCATTTTCCACTGGCACCTCTCCCACATTCAGGTAGTGATGAGAGGAGAGAGTTTTGTTCCTCTTGTTCTCACTTGGCCTAGCTGTGTTTGCAGCCACCCAGATGTCCCTCATATTGTTTGTGTGTGTCTCTGGCCAGTCTGCTCTGCAGGGGTATGACTGATGGGTGAGGTCAAGACAGATGCATTTAACTTGTTTAAGGGACAGAGCCTTAGTTGCCTTAGGGAAACTTGAGCAAAACATGTGACTAGAAGGGGGAGGATCCTAAATCTGGAGTGCTACTTGTATTGATTTAAATCTGTTGTCACATTCCTGGAGCAACACTTCCCAAACTGGTCCCCAGGATTTGGTAGGTATTATGCAATGTTCTAATAGTCAGCCATTTGAAGGAAATCTTGGGCCAACCACAGTTCAGAACAGGTCTTTCCCATGGGTTCTCTAGCTTCTCATGTCTGTTATGAATCTGGAAAAGGTAAGTTTGTGGGAAAGCTTTGGAGAGTTTTGAGCAAGCCATGATGATGAAGCAGTTTTAGTGAGGAAAGCACTCAGGAGAGAAAATGAAATTGTAAGAACAAAAAAGTATTTTACTATGGGTTCGAGACCAACATCCTGACTTTGGGTCACAACTCCCAAATTGTTGGCTCCCATTTGGACTTTACCTCCAGGTTATATACTTTTCTGGTGTCCATAGTAACCACATTACCTCATTTGAGGAATTTTATAAGAATGTCACACAATTGCCATAAGGTTTACATTTGCCAGACACTGTTGACCATCTGCCTGTCATGGGCATTGTGGTTTAATGTTTGTCCTATTTCCTAAATTGTTCTGTTTGTTTCTACTTTATGACACTGGTTTTCTCTAAGTGGGTTTATGGTTAGCTACATGGGAGGGAGTGAGGGACTGAGTTTAAGTGAACTTAAGTGACCTTCCCTTAAAAAGGAGTCTCAGGGCCAGGGAGATGGCTCAGTAGAATAAGTGTTTGCCTGGCAAGCGCAAGGGCCTGAGTTCAATTCCGCCAAAAAAAAAAAAGTGAGTCTCTTTTCCCATATCAGTGATATGATTGAAGAATTTCAGCCATTGTAAATGTAGACACCATAACATAATGATTTTCCGTGACATAGTGCATACCACTTCTCAAACCTATTTAGCCCAGAGTTTTTATTTGCAAAACATCTGCTACATAAATATTCTACAAGAAACCAATGCCTTTCCCTTTCCATGTTTATGTGGACACTTAAGTCCTCAGCCCCTCTAGAGATGAGCCCTGCAGAAGCACCTTGGAATTAGGAACACATTTGGGCCTATCATAGGACCCAGAGTCAATTATGCATTTTCAACAAGCTTCCTGGTTGACACGATACATGTGACATCATGACAGCTACATGAAACACTTGTCATAGAAAGTAACACATACAAATTTACGTGCAGATTAAGTGTCTAGCAAAAGGTTTTCCTGAAAACTCTGTACTTGAAAACACCACTGGAAGAATTTGTAAGAGTGTTCAGAAGAATCTTCCTTACCTACCAGAAAGATCTGAAACACTTACAGATGAGAGACTTACTCCCTCACTTGTCAGATTCTGGAGCCATGGAGAGCCTTTTTCTGACCCAATTCCATGGTAAATTCTGCTTTTATTTCCTTCAGGCTCTTTATTGACCTTTGACTTTCAGGGTATACTGTTTTCTTTCTTCTCCATACACTATTTACCTTAAAGCCCAAGTCTCAGGAAGGAGGCCACCAACACCCTCTCATCAGACTGGTCAAGTTCCCAGTGGGTAGTTCATAAATATGTGCAGACAAAGTACATGTTCAAATCACAGGACATTCTGAAATTTTCCACTAAGTACTGGGTTCCTCCACAGATGTTCCACTTCGGCAGCCAATCCTCTCTAGTCCAGTGTCATAGTTAAGCAAGCCACTAGCTGACTTGGTCTTCCTTTTTCCTTCTGTTCTGCAGGTGGTGGATTCCCAGCTGGCATGCATGATGAATGAGAACAGCATTGATTATATATCTCGGTTCAATGATCTGGCCCAAGAGTTGTCCATCACTGAGCCTGGCCGCCGAGAGGCTCTGTTTGATAGTGGTGGAGGTGGCCCTTCTGTTGGGGACCTGTCACAGTGACTGTGCCTTGTAGGGAGGGTACCCTGAAGGCTGTAGAGAAAGTTTATTGTGCTGGTTGTCCTCACCTGTGGCAGATGAAATCTTCTACATCTTAGAGGAAGAAGACAAGCCCAGAATCCCCAGAAGACTATTTCTGGACCCCATGATGTCCAGCATCCAAGAACAGCCATCCCAGAGCCCCATCCCAGCAAGTAGGGACCATAATGAGCTACGCCAGGATGATCTCTGAGAAGGGCCAGTATCAGGAACTGCCCCATTCTTTGTCCTCCCAGGACTTGTCCTGGGGTCTGCTTGGCTATCCTAGGTGAGAGAAGAGGTGTTCCCTTTCCTAGTTTTTGCATCCTGGGAGTTGTAATCCAATGGAGATTCTATGCTGTTGCTTTCTGACATTCTTTTGACCCACTTGGCCATTCTGTTACAATGTTGAGGGGGCCAGTGGATATTGGCCTGGGCTCCTGTGTAGCAGTTATCCATACCCTGAGATTGCGAACATTTCAAGAGGTGCCCTGATCATGGCCCAGAGAAGGGTCCCAGGGCAGTATAATCAATGCCATCTCCCCAGACTACTGCTTCTTGCTTAGTGTTTTTCCCACCAGAAGTTTTGTTCTGACTGATACAACAGGAAGGGGAAAGGAAATCATGTCTTATGCAGATTGTATGGATGTTTTTCTAGGATCCTACTAAGCTGGTTGAAATGTTTTATTTTGTTTTTAAGAATTAGGAGATAGAGGGGCCAGGGAGATGGCTCAGTGGAATAAGCGCTTCCCTGGCAAGCACAAGGGCCTGAGTTCAATCCCCAGTTGGTTCCACCAAAAAAGAATTAGGAGATATAGTCAATGAAGAACAGAATCCTCCATTTTCCTTTCTGGGTCCCTTATGCAGGTTCATCCGAGGTGAACTGTTTTTCTTCCCACTGGGCTCAACCCAAAGCACTGATATGACTAACAGACAAAGCTTTTCTCATCCTTTAGCCTTTTATGAGTTACTGTTTAGCATCTGAGACAGATCTGTCTCTGTAGGGAAGGCTTTATTTTCTTCAGATCCTTCATTTTGCTGATGTTGGCATCAGGTATCCCTCACACATTTAATTAGTCCCTCTCAATGCCTTTGCCTCCACATCTGAAGGAGCTTAGTGAAGATTTAGATACTTAGGTATAGTCAAAGTACATCAACTCATGGATTCTGATGACTCCCATCTGAAACCCCATGGTGGCCAGTTATAACACAAGGTTAGTCCAGCGTCTAGTCTTTCCCTAAAAGGGCCCAGTGTGGGCTCCTTTTCCTCCTCAGTCTCAGGAGGTTTAAGTACACAAATCACCAGTTGTATCCCATGCTAGTGGTTTGGACAGATACTCATGTGCCCTCTCATTTGTTCACCCTCTATCCAGCAGTCAGAGTTGTCATTTCTAGCCCATCTAAACCTGCCACCCCTTTGCTCCCCTCTTTTACTCTCTCCTCACTTTCATAGTTCCCCTTAAAGCCAGATGCCACCCCACTGCCTTCTGTCTCCATCTCTAGTGAAGAAGGGAGTCATTGTACAACAAGGGGGAAAGATGATTGATAATAGCCCTCTCCGTCCTATTATCTCACTGCAGGCATCAGTAGAGGAAATAGACCAACAGTTCTAGAAAGCAGGTTTCTTCTTTTGCCTCACATATTCCTCCTAGTGCTGTTCTCTTCCACATCTTTTTTCTCTCCATTTTTGCAGTACTAGTGATTGAACTCTGAGGTATTTTCCTAGCCATTTCATTTCATAGACAGGGTCTGGCTAAGTTGCCCAGGATGGGCTTGAACTTGTGATCTTTCTTTCTCAGTCTCCCAGCGTGCTAAGATTATAGGTGTGTACCACCATGCTCTACTGCTCTTCCAAATCTTGAAAGTCTGTGCTACAGCTCCTTGACACTGTAGTCCCTAAGCTCTGAAAGTACAAAACAGAAACATGACCCCACTTTATTAGGAAATAGCCATGTTTTAACCTATGGTGTCTTGTGTTTTATGCCTAATGTCAGCTCCCTGAAACTATCACCACATTGAGTTGAAGATCACTGCATCTGTGGTCTGCAATAGGTTAGGATGCCAGGCTGAGCTTCAGCCACTGCTAGCTTCCTTACAATCTCAGTCTGGGACCAGGGATACTGGCATTGTGCCCAGTGGCCATATACATTGTGCAGTTCCAATCCCAAGCTGCTTCCTATTAAGCACCCGTTATCTTATGACCTCTAAAAAGCAAAACTCCAGAGATCAGAGTAGTATATATAGGCTCTTTATGTGGCAGGACCACATAAAGACTGAGCTTGGGAGGTACCACCTATAGTTGTTGTCACTTAGTGGCAGGCAGGCTAGGAAAGTAAGTAAACTCACCATCTGTCCTGCTGTCAGTGATGGATTTCAGTGATTTTTGCAATTTCTCTAGCAGCCAGACTAGTGTTCTCATTTGCTTGCTATGTTAAGGGGAAAATGCTGTCAGGTGTAGCAGAGAAAACAGGTTATGTGAATATTTGTTTATGAAATAGGCTACTGTTAAAGGATGAAATTTTCAAAAGACCCAGTTGGAGAAGCTTTCCCAATTAAAATGCCATTCCAGCAGAGTTGTGATAATAGTCCAGTGTGAACCACTGACGTCCTTTGTGCATTAGAGCACATGTAATTGAGACAAGATCGATTTCTTAGAAAAATCTTAACCCTAATCTTGCTAAAGTTTCTGGAGCCTTTCTGCTGATTTATCTTTCTAAGGATTGAGACCTAGCATCTCTGGTGTCAAGAGAGGTTGGTGGTTAGCCTGTATTGTGAATACAGTGTGATGAGCATTCTATCCTCAAGACTCCTTTGTCTTGGTCCTGTAGGGTAGAGTACCAGCCAGAGAGTGAGCATCTTTTGGGGACATTTCACCGATCTGTCAAGCCTAGTTTTCCACACCTCCAAGATCTTAAGTTTTGGACTCCTGTTCTTTTTCATTCTGTGCAGTGGCCTCACTCCTGGAGGAAGTTCTTTTTATCTTACTAGCATCTATAATTAAGCTACACCATCGAGTTCAAATTTATCCTGCAGGAGCTGGAAACAAGTGAGGAGGGAAGCAGTTAAATCTTCATAAACACTGAGGTCTGTATTTGTGAGGTAATACAGTACTTTCTCTTAAGGGGATTATTTTTTTTTTTTTAATTTAAAAAGAAAAAAAAGTGGAAGAAACCCACAGTACCCTTTCTCAGCTTTCAGAACTTTCCCAATCTCCCAGCAACTTGTTGGTCCTGTGAGGTCTGTCCAGTCTTGGAAGCACTACACCAACCCACCCCTGCACTGTCAGATGGGATTCCTGGTTGTAGCCTGGGGTGTGGGCTGCAGAACTCAGTGCTGTTTGCTTTAATAATCGTTAAGCCATATCATCCAAGGTTTCTGGCTTGTTTGAGATGTGAATTTGTTTTATAGATTATATAAATATACAGTGTATGTAAAAAGCAGAATGCCTGTCCTTCCTGATTATTTTTTGTACCATATTGTAAATTATATTATTTATTCTTTACCAATTTTGGGAATAAAAGGTGTTTTGGTTATTTAATATAATAAAAGCCGGTAAACTTCTGTGTAAATTTCCAGTTCAACTTGTAAATGTTTTTATTGTGCATAAATACATACTAATACTTGATTTAACAATTGTCTTGTGCTTCTCTTTTTAATGACAGAGTGCCCTAGTGAGGCCCGACACAGGCAGCTGTAGCAGAGGTGCAGTCCACATGTTAACTTGAGCCGCATATAGGCAGGTGTGACTCCTGTCCCGGGTAGTTCTGGGAGTAGGCAGGTGTGGCTAAGTGAGGGAAAAGCGCCACCTTGCGGTTAACCTGAGCCCCACGTAAGCAGGCGTGGCTTGGGTCTCCGGCTAGTTGGGGGAGCTGACAAATGTGGCTCTGCGGGGGAGAAATGCCACCCTGAGTCCTCGCGTGTTCCTGAGAACCCCGCAGAGCAGCACACATGCGCCTCCTACTGTCCTGCCCAGAAATCTCGCAGTTGGCCTGTGTTAGAGGCCCTCTGTCCCTAACCCGGGCTCGCAGCTAAAGGACGCGCCCAGTTAGCAGGCGGGCAGAGTCGCGGGCCAATGCGTGCTCCCAGAGTCTGAGTGGCGAGGCTGTGGCCAATGGACTGCGAGCGCGATGCCAACCTGTCCCGGCGTTTTCCCGGTGGGGGCGGAGTCTGTACCACGATTGGCTGTGACAGTGAGATTGGCGCGTGCCCTCTCCAACGGACGTGGGCGGGCCAGGATACCTGCGCGAGGACGGGCGGGAACCTTCGCCGGGCGGCTGAAGAGGCTTGGGGCGGCGGTCGACATGTTCCAGGGCGTGGATGGCGAGGCCGGCCGGGCAGGCTCCAGGTGCACGGGCGCGGGGCTGCAGCCACATGGCGGTCAGGGGCCGGGAGACCTCAGAAACTTGCTAGACGGGAAATAATCAGGTTCTCTCGGAGTGCGAGCGCGCCCAGGCGTCGGCGGAGGCCGGGCCTCCCTGGAGGCTACAGGGCCTGAGCGGCGAAGCTTTCCCGCGTCTCAGGGACTTCTGTAGCTTCCACCCCATTGATCTTGAAGGGTGGCCGACTTAGGGCTGGTTCCGCCGACTGGTCTGCCTGGGACGAAGGGTCAGTCTCTAGAGGTATTGACTACCTGGACCCGTCTGCCCCAAACGGGGTAGGGTAAAATGGGTCAAATTTCGGGTGACAGATAGCTAGCCCTTGGCCTCAGCACCCACTGAATGACATCCACTTTCCACCTTCCCTGGGTCTGAGCTGCTGGAACTGCTGCCCACAAAGTAGTGATTAACTTGGTACCACGTGAGGGGCCCTGGTGTTAAGACTGACTTTCTGAGCTGAAGAGTAGTCATCCTTTGGGAAGGATATTGGAGAAAAATACGTGTATGACAGAAAGTGAAACGCAGCCTTTTTTCATTGGATGATGGAATGTTAATGGAAACCCCAGCCCGGAAGCCGTGAGAAGCAGTGTTTTGACTGGAGTTCTACCTGGATGCAGGATAAGATAGCTGTCTGCCAGACTGAGGCCTCCCGAATCACACTCAGTGCTGCTTTAAAAGGAATGAAGCTACTACATGTATGATAACCCTTGCAGGTTTTCCTGCCCTCTGACTCCACGTCTGGAGGAATTGTTTTGTGCTAGTGAATTCTGAACTGTAAATCTATTGTTTTAGCCATCTTTACTCTAAAGTCTTTTAAAGTGTAAAATTGTATTTTTTGAGATTTCATTCCAAATCTGTTTCACACATTTTCTTCCTAAACCTAACCAATTCCCCAAAGCTTTTCTGAAACTAGGGACATGTGGGGGGGGGGGGATCATGGCCTTCAAGGTGAGATCTGTTGGTGTATGTCAGTGTAGAATACTTGCCTGTAGTGCTCCAGCCCTGGGTTGAATGGGGGTAGAGGCTATAGGTGAGAGTTCTGGTTTTTTTGCCTCTCCAGGACCATACTCCACTAGGGCTGCGTGGGCTTTTCTTCTTGGCACTCCCCTCTTGTTCTCTTCTGTGTATTTTGAATATCTTTATTGAAATATGTTGAAGAGCTATTACAAAAGGAAAAGTTGGGGTGTATGCCACATTGTGAATTTTTCCTCAAGTATCTTCAGCTGGTTTGAATTCCCCTCCCCCTTAGTATTATAGTGATAACTGCTGCTTGGAATTTCCAGAAGGCGACACTGCACCATTGTTGTGACCCTATTTTCATTGAAAGGCCTATTGAACTCTTGGTCCCATTTATGTGAGACCCTGCTGGTGCAGCCTTGCCATTTGCTTGACTGTTGCAGGCTGTGAAACCTGTTATGCTGGCTTCAATGCCTTTATGATGGAGATGGCCACTGCCTCTTCCCAAGTGGCCAGGCCTCTGTGCACCATAATCTGTGCTACTATTCCTTTTCTATGCGTCTTTACTCATGAAATTCAGATTACATGGAACACATAACAATATTGTTACGTTACTGTTATTGTTTGTACTTAATATATGTCCACCATTCATATATATATATATATATATATAATTTTTTTTTCCTCCACCATCTCCCTATTAACTTTTCATTTCAAGTAACTACCATATGCCTCTTGTGCCCAACCCATGACTTTGGGCCTCACCTCTTCTAGAAGAGGCCTTAAAGTTCAGAAAATATTCGGTATCTCTGTCACATTAGGTATATGGAACACTTAAGCCATCAACAGACCTATCTGGCTTTCCCATTAACCCTGAAGCTTAGGGCAGAAGACTTGCTTTTATCTCTTTTTCCCTAGGGGATCAGATGCAGAGGTGCTAGTGATTAATGCTCCGATATGTGGAACAAGAAGAGACTTGGGAGAAGCTAAGAGTTATAGTATGTGTTTGCTGACTGGACCTTGTGGATTTGAAAGACAGCCATCCTCCAAATACATCAATAAGATACAGATTATAACTCATGCTAGCATGAGTCATGAAACCAAATTCAGCTTAGTTCTAAAGATTACAGATCTCCGACTTTTTCCAAAGAGATAAATGGAGACTATGCTTGAAGACTTTTGTAACTTAAACCTGAATACTGTTTTTTGGCTTTTTAAAATTTCAAACTGGGTAGTAGCACTGGCCTATATTCCCAGCAACTTAGAAGGCTAAACCAGGAGGATCAGATGTTTGAGCTAACTTGGGCAACATAGTAAGACCCTGTATCAGAATTTTTCAAAAAGCAGTTAAGGATGCAGCTCAATGGTAGTAGAGTGCTTGCTTGCCTACCATGCACAAGGCCCTAATGGTGCTGGCAGGTTGTTGTTTTCCCCACTATGCTGAGAATTGAACCCAGGGCTTTATACATGCTAGGCAGGTATTCTACCAGTGATCTGCATCCCCAGCCCTAACAAATGGTTATCTGTCTAATCTGAGCATTTGGGTGTTTATATTAGACTTGCAGACCATAGACAGTCACTCAGTGTAGATGCCCAGGACTCAGATTGGTGCTGATAACCCTCTCTCAGTGGTCTAGGCCAGTGATGGTGAACCTTCCAGAACTCTCAGTGATATGAAACAGCACACTGCCGTACATGTGCCATAGGTTTGCCACCTCTAGCCTAGGCCAAACCACACAGCAGAGGGATTCTATATTTTCCAGGAGGTACATTTTAAAAAGTGGGCAGAGTGGTGCATACTTGTATTCCTAGCTACTTGGGAGGCTGAAGCAGGATTGCAAGTTTAAGGCCAACTTGGGGAACAGTGCAAGATTCTGTCTCCAAAAAAATCAAGTTAAACCAAACAATAATAATAACAAATTAATAGGTTTTAGTCAATATATATAAACTATTATTTCAGAGTATAATCACTTTATTAGCCATAGTTACAGACAGATTCATCAGTGAAAATAATCCCTTCCTGGAATATAGTAAGCACTTAACAACTAAAAGCTATAATATTGAATACTACTGAATATATTTATAGCACTAAATACTTGTACTGTAAAATTAATAACTTCTCCTGACTGTAACTCAGCCTATCTTAAGGAAACTATATAAGAGAGATTATAGGAATAATTTCAAAACATGCAATTGTTGGAGGTTATATATATATATATATATATATATATATATATATATATATATAACTGAGATACATAAAGAAAACTTTTAAGGGAACCGTATAAAGCAGCAAAAAAAAAAAAAAATTAAAAAAAAGACTTCATACCAGCTTTAAATGATTGTGCTATGTGATTTGTCCATATATGTGTGGAAGTAACTTCTGCCCTGTCTAGCTATGCCATACCCTGCATAAGTTCCAAGTTTCTAGGCCAGCCATCAGTAATTCATGTTTGTTCTATGTATATAGGGCCATGAAACCCCCAGGAGGAGAATCTAGCAATCTTTTTGGAAGTCTGGAAGAAGCTGCTCCTTCAAACAAGCCTAATAGAATGGCATCTAATATTTTTGGACCAACTGAAGAACCTCAGAATGTACCCAAGAGGACAAATCCCCCAGGTATAGATTTTAGTAAATCCAAGATCCATTGGCCTCCACCTATTTTCTGTTCTTCTGAAAATATGTTGTTCCTTTATATTACTCCTTCCAGATATTTTCTTGTAAGGTTTTCCCTTGTCATCAGAGCTCTACTAAAATGAAGGCCTTTGTGCTGTTACTTTCTCCACTGAAGGTGGCTCAAGCATTCTTGGTTGGTTCTTGATTTTGGGTTTTTTTGTTGTTACTGTTTTTTGTTTGTTTTGCAGTACTGAGGATTCAACCCAGGTCCTTCACACAAAGCAACATTCCAAACCCTTTAATTTTTATTTTTTATTTTGAGACATGGTCTTGCTAAATTGCCTAAGCTGGATTTGAACTTGTGATCTTCCTACCTTACCTTCCAGACTGTTCAGTTCAAGCACTCTTGAGTGTTTGACAGGGTTGAGTGAAGTTACTAAGGATACCAATGTGATTGGTAGGATTCTAGTTCCTGAACCTCCTAAGAGTCCTTATATTGCATGCATTATCATGCATTCAAACATTTTTCTTAGAGATGGAGATTATTTGAAGCTGATTTCAATAGAATTAATACTTTAGACAAGGACGGGCCAGATAGCTCAGCAGATTAAAGTGCTTAGGAAAACAGAGGGACTGGGGCTCAATCCCCAGCGTGCCTTGTGCCAGCCCCATCACCAGGGCACTCCTCACCAGCAATTGGATTGAGACTGGGCATGTTGACACATGTCTGTAATCCCAGTGCTTGGGAGGCTAAAGATAGGAGTATCACTATATGAGTCTGATCTGTGTAGTGAGACCCTGTAGACCCTGTACTAAATACATATAAAAAACTTTAGGGAGTCTGCCCCTTAGCTCAGTTCTTTAAGTGGCTACTTCAACAAAGCAGTCAGGCTCAGGTTGCTGTGGTTCGATCCCCACAACTCAAGCCAGCCAAACCTGCCCTGAAGGCATTTGGAGCAAAAAAAAAAAACAAAAAAAACTTTAGACAAAATTAGTCTAGTTTCACCAATACAGTTTTTCAACACTTAACTTTGTTGTCTAGTAGTTACAGAGGGAGGGAATCTATGAAAGGCTTCTATTGGATGATAGGCTATTCTGATGCACACAGTGACAGTTACCAAATACCTTTTCCCTGCTTATTCGTAAGAAAGCAAGATTGATTCTATCCTTAAAATATTTGAGAGCCACACTAGAAATCTAGCCACACATGCTAGAATGCTTTCCTCATACCAGTTTTGAGTACAGGTATTTCTTAAACAGTGTAGAGGAACAAGAGCAGTAATTCACCAGGCATGATAGCATACTCCTGTAATCCCAGTAATGAAAGGCTGAACAGGAAGATCACCGTAAGTTTAGGGGCAGCCTAGACTATGAAGTGAGACCCTGTCTGGAAAAAAAAAATTCAAAAGATAGTTTTTTATTGGTTGGTTCTTGGGGGGGGGGCTAATGTTGCTATTTTTAGTGTTTTGTTTTTGATACTGGGAATTGAACTCAGGCCCTTGCACTTGCCAGGCAGGCACTGTGCCACTGACCTGTGTCCTCAGCCTGTTTTTTTTTTTTTTTTTAATAATCAAAGTCTCACTATATAGTTTAGGCTGGCCTCCAATTTACTGTGTGGCCTAGGCTGCCCTTCAACTCGAAATGATACTCCTGCCTCAATCTCCCATGTGCTGGGATTACAGAAATGTACCTCCACACCCAACTGATGTTGCTTTTAAATGTAGTTTATAGAAGGGGAGTCAGTGGATCTTATTAGGTGAATATTCTCATTGTATCCAGTTCTCAGTTCAGGGCTTAGTGGTCAGACCTGCATATCTTTTGTATCAATGATAGCTGATAGTATGTGCATGTGTAAGATAGAATCAAATCTGAGGCATTTGCAAGTGTGGGAGCCAGTTCACTGGCACTGCTCATTGGAGTCATGTTTAGAGTTGTTTCTGGAGCTGTCCCCATAGTATGTTGGGCTCCCTGGAAAACATGATGATGCAACTTTGCCTTTTGTCCCCCGGGTGCTCTGTTTTGTAGCATGAAGCTGGGGGGGGGGGTCCTTCACTATCCTTACTTTTTGTGGTTTTGAGGTTTGTTTCCTATCTTGTTAAGTACTTTCTAAAGCCTGAAAGGCACACAACTGCTAGTTGGGCCTGTCACCAAAAGACTAGGTCCTGTCTATTCATATAGCCTTGGCCCTGCTGCCAGCATTCTAGTCAGCTCCTGATTGAGAAAATATGCAAAAATAAAGAATACAAGTGACCCAACATGTGATGTCTGTGGAAGTATTACTGTAGATTGCTATCCAGTGTCTCATTTCACCTCTGTTATAGTCTCTGTGTTCTTTGCTGATAGCCTTTTCTAGAACTTTGCAAATTGTTTTCCTGCTCAGTTGACAATGATTCATATTTATGGCTTGCTTAATGTATGCCAGGACTATGGTAAGTGCTTCAGATATGTTTCTTCACTTGGTCTTCCTTCACCACTCTTAAAAGGTAGATAATACCATCCCTATGATGGTGGCAAAAACTGAGGTTTGGGGATGGTTCAGTGGTATGCTTGAGCCCCTTGGTGAGTTATTGGCAGAACTGGCTTTTTGGATATGGGTTTTTCTGCCTTCAGAGTTCATGCTATACATATATTTCCTGAATATATCCATTGGGATAAATTTCTCAAAATGGAATTGCTGAATCAATGTGTTCTATGAATTTAAAAAACTGACAATTATTTGCAGAAAGTCTTCAAAGAACTTACCCACTATATTCCCATCATGTGTGTGCATGCTTGTTTCCATGAGTGCAGTGTTTATCTTTTGAAATTTGATCTCTAGAAACATACCTTGAATCTTGTTTTGGTTATGGGCAAATTGGTCATCTTTTCTTCTTTACAAGTCATTTTTTGGGCTGGGGAGATAGTTCAGTGGCCTCAGTGTCTGCCTGGCAATCAAGGACCCAAGTTCAATCCCCAGTACCACGTGCCATGCTGGGTGCGCTGTGCCAATCCTGAAACCAGGCGTGGTGGCACATGTTTGTAATCCCAGCACTAAGGGAGGCTGAGACAAGATCACTATGAATATGAACTGCATAGCAAGACCCTGTATCAAATAAATGAATTTAATAAATAAAATAAACAGAAAACTAGTTTTTCAAAGAAAATACCGAGTAATAGATATTTGCAGTGATTGCTTCCTTTTTGTTTTGTGGATGGAACCAGGGGCACCATACTCCTCAGCTACATTCTAGCCCTGTTTTTTATTTTGAGATAGGATTTTGCTTTTTACCTAGGCTGAGCTAGAATTTGTGATTATTTGCCTCAGCCTCCTGAGAAGCTACATGGGGTAAAATGGCATGCTTATGGTTTTCAGGAAATAGAAGAATATAATGACCTTAGGTGAGAGGGAAGACACACGGAGTTTCTGACAGCTGGCACTATTCTCTCTGCTCTTTCCAGTGCTGACTTGGGTTTACATAGTAATGATTTATGGTAGTCATGTCCACAGAACTTTTCTGTGTTCTATTTCACAATCAGTTTTTTTGGTTTTTGTTTTTTAATTTATAGGCTTTTTGACCAAACTCTTCAAATTGTAAGGGTTTATTTCCATTTAAATAAAAAAGGTAAATTTACATTTTTAAAAACACGTAAGCATAATTCATTGGCACATACCTATAATCTCAGCCACTTGGGAGTCTGAGGCAGGACTGAAAGTTCAAGGCTAGTATAGGTAAATTAGGGAGACCCTGTCTCAAACAGTTTTTAAAATGGCTAAGGTTATAGCTTGGTGGTAGTGCCCCTAGGTTTGATCTCTAGTACTTCAGAGAGAAAAGGTCCCTTTCTTCACCATGGTCCAGATATTTGCTGGGAGGTGACAGTGTGAGACTGCCTCACCTGAACAGCTGGTTTAGCCTTATTGGCAACCCCTGGCAGGTATTACTATTTTTTTAAAGTAGAAGAAGCAGAAACATGAGGGTGAAGTAGCTTATTTGATATCATACAGTTAATGAGTGACTAAGCAGAGACTCTGACCCTGGCATTCCAGCCACACACCACTGGTCCTTAGCATCATGCTGTGCTGGCTTTCCCTGCACTCAGTTTCACACTGAGTATCCAGTGTGAGAACTGTGGATCCTTAGGAGGTCCAGGATAAGGTTCAGAAGGTATGCATTTGCTCTTATGTTACACAAAGACACATATTTTCTTGCAGAGGGACTCTCCATGTCCCTTAGTGTTCTGTCCCTATAGAAAGGCAGAATCCTTAGTCTGAGCCTCCACTTCTTCTCCTGTTACAGTCCTCTTTGCAGCTGTAGTCCATACTACTAGAAGCTGAAGCCTTTCAGAAGACTGTTCTGCTTGAAGCCTCTCCCAGTGGTAGGGAATTTAAGATCCCAGCAAGAGAGCAGGCTCCAACCACGTGCTCACAGCATTCTGGCTCATGCTTTATTCTTGTCACGTGATGCCTAATTCCTGTGGCAATAGCGTGATTATCCAAGAAGTAACTGTTCAAAATGTTTTTTAAAAAAACAGAAGAGTGTAGTTTAGTATGAAGACTTTGGGTTCAATCCCCAGTGCCACATTTTTTCCCCCCAGTTCTGGGGATTGAACCTCAGGGCCTTCACAATGACTGCATCCCCAGTCCCTTTGTTTTTATATTTTGTAACTTGAGATAAGGCCAAGTAACTTACATGTAGCCACATCGCTAGCTTGTGGGGTCCATCTTTTTTCTTGTAGATGAAAACTTGGCTTACCAGCACTGTACTTTCTTGTGTTTGGCATCTCTTGCGTTTAGCATAGTGCTCTGTATAAGTGTGTGGTGTCTGCTGAATGAAGGTATATCAGTCGATATCATAACTATAGCCATCTTTCTGCCTAAATAGGCATCCAGGTATTCTTGTGTGTGAAGCTCCATCTGAGACGCACATTTTCATCACAGCTTGTTAACTCACTCAGCAGCAAGAATGTTACATGTCTGTGAATTGTAAGTTCTAGCCAAAACAAGGTCAGAATGGCTATTGTTATTTTCTAGATTACAGGTTTGTTTTGAATAGGGCATGTTATTAATTTCAGAACTCTGTGAGTTAAACATTTATTTCTTATAATCTACTAAAAAGTTTTTTAACTCAGAAGACTTAACTGTTCAGGGTTAAAGAAACTCTCCAGGGAAATTGTATTATTTCCTCTCCTTTCTAGTGACCAGCTAAAGTCTAGACCTGATGGTCGCAGCAGGCCCCAGGTAAAGAGGTTGGCTAGAAGCTGAATTTTGTGGGCAAGTTTTAGAGTTGGATCATCCTACCCTGTTCACCTGGTCTTTGCTGTGATGAATGTGGCAGGGAGGGTCAGATGGGTGTTCTGGTGCTCATTGTTGTTATTGTTTCTGCAGGAGGGAAAGGAAGTGGAATCTTTGATGAATCAACTCCTGTGCAGACCCGACAACGTCTGAACCCACCTGGTGGGAAGACTAGTGACATTTTTGGTTCCCCAGTCACTGCAGCTTTACCCTTGGCACACCCAAACAAACCCAAGGTACGGGCCCTTTTCAGATAGCAGACATAAAAGGAGAAAAAAATGAGCCAAGTCCTCTTTTTTTTTAAAAGGCTCCAAGGCAGGTGTAACTCTTTATTAGAAAAAGTGGATGACATTGATTTTTCCCAGAGGGCAGTTTGTCACTGGGTTTGGAATCTCCCCCAAATCACCCAGCAGCATGGTTGGACCTCATGATTACTGGAGCCATGGAGGAAGCTGTCAGTGTCCACAGCAGCAGACTCTATTGCAGGTTGTTCACCATGTTGCCTAAGGGCTGATAACTGAGCACATAGCATAGGAGTTTGTCCCTCATACATTTTTCACTATCCTTACTTTTGGAAAAGAAAAATGATGGTTCTATTTTATTTGCTTTTGTTTTTGAAGAACAGGATCTTACTCTGTGTCCTAGGCAGACCTCGAACTCACAATTCTCCAGTCCAGCCTCAGCTGCCTGTGGGCTGAGATTGCAGGTGTGTGCCACCACACCTAGCTAAGATCATGGCTTTTGTTGAGTACTTCTCTATACAGGTTTAGGGTCCTTGTATTTGTTATCTCTGGGGATATATAGTGTTCAGCTAACACATAGCTGGCATCTCTGATGCAATAAAGGTGCCCTTGGAATGAAATACACATGGTCTCTTCACCTACAGTGCCAACTTAGAGGCTGCTGACCAGTGTGACTTTGGACATGGCCTTAGGAAGTATTAATGAGATCTGTGAACTTCCTGGGCTGAGACAGAGGCTTGATCAATGCCAGTCCTGGTTTCTGTGAGTCCCAGAGTCTGCACAGCCTTTAGACTGAAGGTTCATTGGTTTGAGTGGTGGCAGAACTTTTCCAGGGCTGCTTTTAGCCAGAACTCATCAGTTGTGAAGGTTAGAGCTTTATTATTACCAAAATAATTAGCAGGCTTTTAGGTATTTGCCCTTCCACCTTGTTTTTGTTGAAAAGTTAGGGTCTGATTTTCTTTTTTTAAACATTATTTGTGTGTGTGTGTGTGTGTGTGTGTGGCCAGCTCAGCCCACCAGGGGGCGGGGCTGGCTGGCATGTCGTGCTGGGGAATCAAACCGAGGTCCCTGTGCTTTGCCTAGCTTGCTCCAAGTAGGTGCCTTAGACCACTGAGCCATCTCACCAGCCCGGGTCTTATTTTCTTGAGAAAAAACATACAATCATTTCTGGAGTTTTTGTGCCTGGATTGTTGCTGTATTCTTACTGGTTTACATCCCAGAAGGTGGTACTCTGGCTGAAATAGGAATAGTTGAGGGAGCCTGGCCAGGGCCAGCCTATGTCTCCTGCATTGGACTATGTGCAATGACATCTGTTTCCAGGTTGGAGTCTTATGGAACTTAAATGGTACCAGGTCATGCTGCTAATTTCAGAGAACACTTTTGTGGCTCTGCCACCTCTTGGCTAGCTCTGAAATGCCCTAGAAGTCAGCATTTCACTAAGGAAGAAGTCTAAATAGCTGAACACAGGAAGGAGTTTTAGATTCACACAATCTAGCGAATGGATTGGGTGGAGGAGTATAAACTGTCAGTACACCTAGGCACAGAACAAGAGGAATCAGAATAGAACTTCCTGAGTATGTTAAACATAAAAGCTTTTTGCCTGAGTAGTATCACAGCCAACTCCAGCCTTATTGGAGAAATTACCATTTCTAAGTTGACGCCAAGGAACATATAAGATGAACCTAGAATGTTGTATAATACCAGGATGCAAAGCCAGGCATGGTGGCACATACCTGTAATACCAGTACCCAAGAGACTGAGGCAGAAGGATCACTGTGAATTCAAGGACAGCCTGGGCTACAAAGTTACTAAAAGGCCAGCCTGAACTACATAGTAAAACCCTGTCTCAAAAAGATTAAAAAATAAAATAGCAGAAAGCTAGGAAGCCATCACAGATGCTGAGGTCTCAGGAGACAATATGAGAAGAAGCCATGGGCTGTAGAGAAACTATTTGGTCATCGTCAAACATAATAATTGCAATGCATTAAATTCATTAAAGCGCCTGCAAGCAGGTGCAGGAGCCAGGGACCCTAGGCCTGCCGTGCCAGCCCCACCTTCGGAGTATCCTAAGATGGCAGTTGATACTGGGCATGGTGGCACGCACCTGTAATCCCAGCTCTAAACAAGTGGATCACTATGAATCCAATCTAGTAGATCCTAGAAGGGTC